CTAGTAGCTACTTGCTCCTAGTAGTACGGGCAGGAGCCCCTAGTAGCATTCTTCCTCCTAGTAGCTTTTACCGTATGGCCTGGACAAAGTTGTAGAAACTTGGTGACCCTGTGGCGCAGCTCGCGTAACCTCAAAGTCTTCTGCGAAGTCCAACGGAGCCGTATTATACTGAGGGAAGATACTAGGAGACCAAATACTCTGAAAAGGGCGTAAACAGGGGTCAAATCTCTGCACATGCCCATGCGGCACAACAGCCTGTGCGACCTGAGCAAATACACGACCTTGCTGTCTCAGGATAGTGATGAATCGAGGACAAAACGATTAGCTGAGCCTGGCACTTTGAGTGAAGCAGCTGGCACCAGTCAGAATTAGGCCTGTGCCGAAGACTTCCAGAAAATTGAAGTATCTCTGTACATCTTCAAGAAAGGAAAAACGAACTCTATTGCTGAGGAAATCAGCCACTTACAAATTAGGAATGGAGTTGATACTTTCGATTGGGAGCGCAATCTTGAATGGCATTGAACATATATTGAATAGAAGGCAAGGTGAGGTTCTCCATTTTGGATAGAGGTTCACACAACATGGTGCTTGTCTTGAAGTGTCTCTGTTGCGAAGGTTGTCCACTCTCCAATAAGGAGTATGATCGACATTCAGAGCGCATTCACACAATGTCAGAGCAGGTGACATGATAGAGCGCTTCCTACACAGTGATGGAAACGATTACCTTAAAGTCTGGTTCGCAAATGAACCATAGGCAGCTTCAAATTGGCAAGGTTTGATTGTCGATCAACAGTGAGGCTGCCAATTCAATTCTTGTATGTAAAATCCTTCGAGGATGTCACTCATATAACATATAAGATCATGTAGGTCTTGTTTTGGCAGACCTCATCACTGCTAGAGGGTTGGATGCTGGCCTGGCGTTGGTCTTCTTGAGGTCTGATAGCTACCTACAACTGCCAAGTGGCCCATCGACAAGATCCAACCCAAGATCTTGCTGCCTCACTCTTGGAAGTGAGGTCTGGACAAGATTGATCGGAGTCAGCGTCATGGTCAAATTTGATCACAAACCACACTCAACTCAAATCTGCAATATCTGCCAGCGTGAAAGCAAACAAGTGAGGCAAGAGCCAACCCTCGTTACTTAACAAATCGGCCGATCGAGCGGCATCACACCAAGAACCTGGCTCTCTACAGTGTTCATTTGCTCTCCTTCGCTTTGTTTGGATGCCGCATGATGCCGCGACTCAGAAATGCAATAAAAGCATCCAAGCAACACCCTGGATCAAAGGCACGGGGAAAGCACCAGCCTCAAATCTGCGCAGCTACATGTAGTACTAATAGCGATGGCCTCCAACCTATATATATATAATAGCGATGGCCTCCAACCTGATTGCTAATTATTAGTATTTGCCAGTTTTGTCAAAGGTTAAATGCCAATGCTAATAGCTCTGCCTGCACAACTTATTGGCGCATAAGCTGCAAGTGCCTCGGCGTAATTAGCGAGGAAACATTGTCGCAAAATTTGGTCCTTTTGATTTCCTCTGTTTTTGCACGGCATCATGGCCACTTATGCGGACTCCCGAAGCACATACCTTGACCGTACCATACCGTACCTACCCAGCGGCATATTGCGATTGTTACAACACAGAACTAACTGTGGGAAGACATGTTCGGAGAGTCTGCAAAAAATGGCTCTTGCCACACGTGGTGATCATGGCATGACAAACTAGGAAACTTGCTGAGTCTGATAAAAGCCTTCTCCAGTGTGCGACCGAGTGGTCACTTCGAGCTGCATTGAAACTTAAAACAAACTCCGAGCTGTGCTCTCTAGTCTTGCAAGAATATTCGAGCGAACGGCGAACGCTTCTCAACAAAAGACAAGTAACTTAAGTCAATACGTGCTTTGACATGCAAGTAGCCAGTTGAGTGTCCGAAAGGATGTAATATGATGTGTATATATATATATATGATGAGTTGTTGTTGGTAAATGCACGACCGAGGGCTGCCGTGCCGACTGAACATGTTTTTAGGATGGGGATGGGGATTAGGAACCTCAAAATGGTGTTTGTTGCCTATCCGGACTATGCATTCAAGTCTTCGTAGAGCTTTGAGAATGGCCCCCTTCACAGTCACTCTCATTCTTGTCAAGTTTGACCGTTCTCTATCAGAGCAGGCTTTTGATATGTACCACTCAGCATCTATCTATATACAAACAACAGCCAAAAATCCTGCTGCATCTAACATTTGCTGCTGATGCCGCCACCGAGCCACAGCAAACAAATGCTGAAAGCCGATGCTCGGCTTTAGCAATCTTTACATTCATCAAAGCCCTGACTGGTCTTTTCATCTATCTATTTTTTTTGCTGAACCAGCAAGGTCAACAACAACCAAACATATTTAGGCATCTTTATTCTGAGTCGATGAAAATCCATTGATTCATGCTGAAACATAGAGTCTGCACTTTAGAACTGAACTTGGCAACCTCGAGTGTTCCTTCGCAAAATCAACACGAGTGCGCAAAATGGGCTTTGAGGGGCTGGCTACGGCAGGAGGCGTCCTACCATCAAACCTTCAGCGATGCTGGCATCTGCATTTGGGGTATGCTTGATCCATCTGTTGAGCCGTTCTCCTTCTTGCTCTTGCGATTTCCTGAAATGTCATTCCAGCGCTCCCTTAGCTCACCTGGGTGTCCAGGAGGTGGAGGCTCAAGAGCGCTCCACTGGGTTGCACGCTTACAACAAACCAAGAAAGACCCTAAGGTATGTGCATGTCCAATCACACGGTGCAACAAAAGCTCGCATCAAAAAGTATTGCAAAGGACTTGCCAAGAGGTCAAGTGCTGGCTCTTGCTGTGGTGAAGGTTAAATCCTTTCCTGCCAAGCCACTCACACATGGTCGAATGTACTTCCAGTTCCATGGCGGCCTGCCTAAAGAGCTACTCCTGCAAAAAGCAGGAGCTCTTGACGTGCATCAAGAGGATTTGCTCGTATATGGACACAACATGGTTTTCCAGATGGTTGCTTTTCAGGTTGTACTAGGAGATCATTGTTTTAAGCAGTTGTGGTGAACATCAAGACCTTGGCACACGGTTTGGTAAAAGACTGTTGGGTACCAAGAAAAAACAAATAAAACTAATCAAAGCTAGAAACAACTGCACTGCTCTTGTACACACGCAGGGCTTACAGGAATGCTAAGCTGTGCCTCAGATTTTTTTGGCACACAAGTGTAGTTCTCTTTCTCGGGTGCCACGAGCCATCTGAAGAGCTCCAAAATGGCCTTGTCCGACAACACATGGTGGTGCTTCTGCTGCATCATCGACTCAGGTTTGCAGCACACCAACCAATGCTAAGGGTGTCTTGTGGCCAAGCAAAACACTCAGGAACAAAGTCTTGTCTTGAGTACATTTGAGAGATGTTGAATCTTGACAGCATGTGCAAGGTATAACTAGTATAACTGCCATGGCGAAGTCAGGGCTGAACGTTTGGTGTGATCTCACCCTGAATACGAAGTCAAGCGACTGATGCTCGATCCATGCTGTGGTTCATCCACGTCTTCGTAAATTTTTCGATTTTTTTCATCGTACCTCAGCATAACAACCAGTTGGATTTGCAGTCCCAAAGCTAATTGCTGTTGGTAGAAAAATGATTGAGGCCTTCATCTGCCAAAGGACATGTACAGTATGTTTTGTCTAGTTCCACCAAGTTGTTTCGGTCAAGTCTCTCCCAGGTGTAGCCTTCGCCTCTTCCACAGCACCTGCTGGGTGATTTGCAGGGGAGGGTGACAAACAAATATATGAACATGACTATAGGTTCCATGCACGCGCAAACACACTTAGATCCTTGCTCGCAAGAACTATATATATAGATCAGTTTGGAAGTTCCAACGTTACTGCAATTAGACCTTTAATGCATTAGACCTTGACTGGCGAACCGAACGGTGAAAGAGTCCACATCAACAGTATTGCTGAACATGGGTGAGATGAGGAGAGCTGGTGAAACGTTTGCAGGTACAGGAATGTGCGTCCACATTCCCCTCCGGCTGAATCCCATAGCTTCGTTGGCATGGCCAGGGAAACAGCTGCCATGCCCCCCCTGCTGCACTGCACAAAAACAATGGAAAACTATTTTTGTGGTGTCAGGGTCCTGAGGAACAGGACTTGACACACACACGGAGCCGAATCCGGCACACACTAAACACGGCTGGCGCTTGACTGAAAAGAGGCTGATTACCAACCTAAAAAGTCTTTAGAAAAGAGAGAAGCCTAGAAAGAGGAACAAAATCTGGAAAGAACGAAAGCGGGGGAGACTAAACGAGGCCTAAACGTCAACCGAACAAGCCTGAAGAAAAGACCAAGCAAAGGAAAGAAAGCAAGGCGAGAAAGGGTGTGACTGTGAGGTGGGGCGAAGGGCGCTGGCCCGAAGGCACTTGGCCTTGACTAAAATTTAAACCTGCAACCTAACAAGCCTCTAATGAGAAAAACCCGGAATGAGAGAAAGCAAGACCGTGCCTGAATTACCCTGAGGATCCGATATTGAAAAATCAATATCGCAAAAAGTTTTCAGTAATATTGAACTTGATTTTTTCAATCGCAGGATTGTTTTTTCAATATTGAAGATTGAAAAATGATCAATATTTTTGATCAATATCGACCAATATCATGATCAATATCAAGACCAATATCAACGTCAGAAGGAACTCCACAGGATTCTAAACTCCACAGGAAGTCCACAGGATTCTAAACTCCACAGGAACTCCACAGGATCTCGACAGGGTTCTAAACTCCACAGGAACTGCACAGGATCTCCACAGGAACTCCACAGGATCTCCACGATCAATTTTGACCAATATCATGATCAATATCATGATGAATATTTGAAACCAGCATTGACCAACATCGACCAATATCATGACCAAAATTATATTGATCACGATATTGAATTTTTTGCTTCCAAGTTGACCATTTTCAATATTATTGAAAAATTTGGGACCAATCGTAAGATTGATTTCTTCAGTATCGGATCCTCAGGATATCAGTTTGTGAATACTCAGCAGCATGTCATGGCATTCTGGAGCACATTGCAGTAGGCCCAGTAGGCATAATGTCAGCGTTCTCGAGGAAAACGGTAAGGCAGCAAGTGTCGCGCAGGACCGACAACCTGAAGTTCATTCACCCTTGAGGGTATGCAAGTACAGCGCCCAAAGCTGAGTTCACACAGTGCATCGCTGTGGGACGGCACTGCGAGACACACTTAGATCCACGCTCGCAAGAGCTAAATCAGTTTGGAAGTTCCAATTCCAGCGTCAGTGCAATTGGGCCTTGGCTGGTGAACCGAACGGTGAAAGAGTCCGCATCAACAGTACTTTGATGTTCTGGTGGTTTGCTATTGTGTTAGGCTAGTTACACGTATTGTTAACTACATCATAACACATTTGCAATAGGGTTATAACTACTTATAACAAGTTACAATTGCCCTAAAGGCTTTATATTATCATCATTTTTTAAAGCTAATAACTAAAGGAAAATAATTGTTATGCTAATTTCATTAATGAACTTATTTCTTTAGGACAATGACTAATTTTACCCAAAAAAATAAACAAAGTTAGCACAGTTAACATAAACTTTAAAGGTTAAAAATTGACTAAAGAAAATGTTGTATGTTTATGTTGCCAAGGTTAGAGCAAGCCTTTGTCTACAGGCTCCAGATGCTTCAGACTCTACAGGCTCAAGTTGTTTCAGCATTTGCAGGCTCAGGTTGCTTCAGCCTCTACAGGCTCAAGTTGTTTCCGCCTCTACAGGCTCAGGTTGCTTCAGCCTCTGCAGGCTCAAGTTACATCAGCCTTTGCAAGCTCAAGTTGCTTCAGGCTTTTGTACAAGAGGAGATCCTGTGCAGGATCAAGTTGCGTTGGTCTGTGCATGCTCAAATGGGTTTTTGCATTGCAGCCTGCCACAATGGCATTGTAACATTTTGTGGGGTGGGCAGCTACATACAATGAAAAGGTGAATGTGTTGAAGAGACAACCAACCACAACATAAGAACACAAGGGACAACCGACCACAACATAAGAACACATGAAAACACAAACAACACAGCATATGTAGGTGCTTTGTTCATGAACTTTTATTGTTTGCACACCATGGCTCTTCCTTGGGTGGTGGAGCTCAAGAAGATTTTGAATGACAATGAGATGGGCATCAACCAAAATGCTGCAAAAGCCTTGGCAGGGTCGCAGCAAGCAGGACTTGCATACACCGCAGTCTTGAAACCAAAAGAAGTCTTGATCCATCCTTCGAATCGAGGAGGACAGA